ACCCTGAACCCTGAACCTTGAACCCGAAATGAACCTCGAAGCTGATAGTTCCCTCCGAGGCCTCAGAGCAGATTCTCAAGCCTTTACACCAGGCCGTGGCTCCTTTTTTTGGTTCTTGAGATGTTTCTATTTATGGTTTAGGATCTGTTTGGTGTAGGGTTTCGGGTTTGGGTGTTCTTGGCTCAGGGTTCAGGGTCTTTTTGGTTTAGGGTCTCTCGGGTCTTTAGGGTTTAGTGCTTTTTTGGTTTAGTTAGGATTTAGGGTCTCTTTGGTTCAGGGTTTAAGGTTTAGGGTCTTTAGGGTTTAGGGTTTAGGGTTAGGGTTAGGCGTGCAGGGTGATAAGGCTGTTGCTGGGGTTAAGGGGGTGTGAGATTATATGGGCAGGAAGATGCTAGTAAGGTTCTGTCAGGGACGTAGTCAGCAGAGTAATGCCTTCATATCCAGCTACTTATATTCCCGACGATGGGCACTTGCAAACGTACTTCTAGCAAGCCTCCCTAAAACTCTCAACTCCCTCAACCCTAATCCCTAACCCCACAACCCTCATCCGCAAAAACCTACATGGATAGTTCTCTAAATCAGGGTCCCTGCTTAGGTGCCCAGCATAGTACGGCACCCTTAATATTTTTCGCTATGTTGTATGGCTAAAACAAGGAACCCCCCCCCAAAAAAAAAAACAGAATTGGTAATTATTCAGGCCTTCTGGCCCCTATATGAGCCGAAGCTTCCAAGAATGAATCCTGAAGGCGATGACCTCAGAACCAAAAGCCCCCATCCCAGACGAGTTAGAGAATTAGGGCTTAGGGTTCAGGGTTTGGGGTTTAGGGTTCAGGGTTTAGGGTTTAGGGTTCAGGGTTTAGGGTTTCGGGTTAAGGGTTCAGGGTTTACGGAGGGCTTAAGGCAGGTTACCACGCCGTAGACCCGGTAGAGTTGGTTCCAAGCAAGGTTTAACTGTGCATATCCATGTACAGGTGCATGTGCATGTGCATATATACGTACCGTATGCGTGTGCCGAGAACATACAATACTTATATAAAACAGTATGTATGTGCGCGTGCATTTTTATATGTATGCAACAGAACATTTGTCGGTCTGTTGAAGACGTGTTCGCTTGGTCGTCGTGTGTTGCCTAGCTCGAACATTTTGTCCCAAAGCCTGGCGTCAAGTCGCTCACTGGATTTCGCGATTGCAAACAAGACACGCTGACCATTCCAGTGTGTGTGTGTGTGTGTTCTACCGTGATTCTTCATCGCCACACGAGCACGCAGATACGGGTAGTTCTCTAAATTAGGGTCCCTTGTTAGGGTCCTTTTTATAAGGGTGCCGTATTATATTGGGGACCTAAAAGGGGACCCTAATTTAGAGAACTCCCCATATGTACATGCACGTCAACCGGACCTTGTTCACCCCTCCGAGAAGTCCGCAACTGCCCTTTCAGCGATCCTTAAACCTGTGGCGGTGAATCTTTGCGTGCTAGACTAGTAAGCCCTACTGGGAGGTAGAGCTTTGTCTTTTTCTCGTGATCCCTCCCCTCTGTTTCCCTTTACTCCATCTACCTCCCTCCGTTGCTCTCTCTGGCTCTCTGTCTTTCCCTCCCTCTGTCTGTCTCGCTCTCTCTCTCTCTCTCTCCCTCGCCCTCCTCTCTTCTCGATTTCTTTCTTCTCTCTCTCTCTCTCTCTCTCCCTGTGTCTCTGTCCTTTGCGTTTACGAACATACATGTGGTAGACAGGGTGGGGGATGGATAGAGAGAGAGAGAGAGGGAGGCGAGGGGTCATGCGACTCTTAGCCCACACGCCCAGATAGCAAGCAAGCAAGAGAGAGAGTTAGAGATGAGAGAACAGAGAGAGAGAAAGAGAGAGAGAGAGAGTGAGGGCGAGACAGACACTGTCTCTCTGTCTCTGTGTGTGTGTGTGTGTGTGTGTGTGTTTGTGTGTGTGTGTTTGTTGCCCGGCACACTTCACTTCCCTTTCCATCCCTACACCCCGTATCCCTACAAACCCTAAATCTGCAACTCTACGAGTCCAAATCTCAAGAACGTCCGGCGGTGTCCGGGATGCCAGGCATTGCAAAATGAGAGGACCGCCGGCATCTTGCGAAGCGCTGCCCCGATCCAAGACTGGGCTCCGTTGCCGGTACTGAGAATTTATACAACTCAATCCTCTAGGTTTTAGCGTTCGATGCTGCTTGTGCTGGTGGCGGTGATGGTTCAGCAGAAACAGCAGCAGCAGCAGTAGTAGTCGTACTAGTAGCAGTCGTAGTAGTCGTAGTAGTAGTAGTAGTAGTAGTAGTAGTAGTAGTCGTGGTGGTGGTGGTGGTAGTGCTAGTAGCCGTCGTCGTCGTGGTAGCAGCAGTAGTAGGAGTAGTAGTAGTAGTAGTAGTAGTAGTAGCAGCAGCAGTAGCAGTATAAGAGTACTAAACATGATAAAGAGAACAGGCCCGAGCGTCTTTTCCGATGCCGCCGCCGCTTGAGC